AAGGCAGCCCAATACAATGTTGTTTCTTGATATATGCCAATGTATATTAATTATGTTTTTCACAGCAAAATGTTGAACAGAAAAGGATGTACAGTAACTAATGACCACAGAAACTAATACCATTCTTTCATATTATCTTTAACTCTCCCTAATATGTCCCCTCTATCAATAGCTTTTACTTGGATAATAGTGTTACCTAACATGTTACCCTCATAGAACCGGCAAACACAAATGCTCCTGAGCTTGGGGATGGACTTGATGCAGGCTACAACCACATAAGGAATGTCCTGGAACATGCATACCTTGCTGCCCTCAAATGGACCGGGGAAATCCAAATATACTGAATGAGGAAAGAAAAAACAGAGGGTGCACAGGCCTAGTGCATTACCATAAAAAATGTTTAATAAAAAATAAAGTATGTGTTGTACTCACAAACGACAATATAGTCAAGGCACATCATAAAGAACAGCTGGGTCAACACCGCGCGCTGAGTAACAGTCCGCAATAGGGAGTATAGACATCCAAAAGTCTGACGCGTTTCGAGGACTTGCCTCTTCCTCAGAGCCACTGTTTTTTCTTTCCTCATGTTACCCTCATAACCTTTTTCTATAAATCCCTGTCTCCAAGTATTCACTTGGACCAGTAAGTCTTGATTAGAACCGTTGCATCTAATCCACATAAATTGACTCCACCGTACAGACCTCAACTGTGACTTATGGTGGCAACTGTCCGATGGTATGAAGGTGTTCCAGTCAGTGGCTTTGAATAAAGTGGTAGTGGTAGCAACCTATGTCCATTGGTGAAAATAAGGTTCCAATCCTAGATCCTACAGAGGTCCAACCTTACTAGCCTATAAATTTGTTTCCATGTTCCTTCTCAGAGCCTTTACATAAAAAATAGCCTACGCTGGGAAAAACATACAAACATTAGGTGAGGCCAGGAAAGGAAAGTTACAGAAACTATCCATAAACAATTTTCCACATTCCTGACCCTCCTCATGCCTACATACAATATGAGCTAGTTAGATACATAAAATTATTTATGGGAGGGATATTACAATATGTATCAGAAATAGTTTAAGTGGATAGTCAAAGCAACAAAAGGAATAGCAAAAATTACCCACTGGGTTCCAATTAAAATAGCGAATGCATGGAAGCAGCCTTCTGTGTCCCTTATGCAAACAAAACAATAGCGTGGATAATGTGTCAGTGTATTGCAGAAAGCTGTTAAGGAGTTAGAACAGACCATGGATCCTTGGGCCCAATATACACTCAATGGCCATTTTATTAGGTACACCTTGCTAGTACCAGGTTGGACCCCCTTTTGCCTTCAGAACTGCCATAATTCTCCGTGGCATAGATTGAACAAGGTGTTAGAAACATTCCTCAAAGATTTTGGTCCATATTGATAGCATCACGTAGTTGCAGATATGTCATCTGCACATCCATGAACCATTGATATAAGGCAGGATGGATCCAAGCTTTCATGTTGTTTATGCCAAATTCTAATCCTATCATGACAGGAGTGACACCCCTTTGGTCTTCTGGTGCTGTAGTCCATCTGCTTCAATTTTTGAGGTGTTGTGCATTCACAGATGGTATTCTGCATACCTTGGTTGTGATGAGTAGTTATTTGATTTACTGTTGCCTTTCTATCATCTCGAACCAGTCTGCACATTCTCCACTGACGTCAACAAGGTATTTTCTTCCACATAACTGCTGCTCACTGGATATTTTTTCTTTTTCAGACCATTCTCTGTAAACCCTAGAGATGGTTGTGCGTGAAAATCCCAGTAGACCAGCAGTTTTTGAAATACTCAGACCAGCCCGTCTGGCACCAACAACCCTGCCACATTCAAAGTCACTTAAATCCATTTTCTTCCCTATTCTAATGCTCGATTTGAACTTCAGCAAGTCATCTTCACCACGTCTAGATGCCTAAATGCATTGAGTTGCTTCCATGTGTTTGGCTGATTAGCAATTTGTGTTACCAAGCAATTGAACAGGTGTACCTGATAAAGTGACAGGTGAGTGTTTATATGCATGTGTCCTTTTAAACCTAGAATACATCCTAGGGTTTTGGGGGGCAATAGTCTCCACCTGTTTCAGTCTAGCCTTCTTTTTTTCTTTCTTTCATCTTCCTTCTTTTCTCTCCTTTTCTTACTCCTTGTGTATCCTTCATTTGTCACTAACCTATCTAGACTCTTCGTGTGTGGTCCTCTCCCAGCGCCGTTTTGTTTTTCACTTGTACCTATATTATGTTAAATGTATTGCTTAAGGTATACATTAGGGGCAGTCAAGCTTGCTGTTAAGTTGTTTCTGATGGGCTATGCCTCCTAGATCACTTGTATTATACCCTACCAGATTATGATGTACTATTTGTATTTTCTTTTCTGTTTTTTTTTTATATATGGAAAGTACTGTAAGGTTTCTACTCTATTTTTAAAATAAAAAAGATTGAACGGCAAAACAAAAATACCCACTCAATCAGCTTCTGTACAACCACCCTGCTGGCAAATGTCCTCTTGTTCAGTGTTGCAGGTTACAGCCTGCAGCACTGATCAGTGTATTGTGATGGCGGGGAATACAATGACAGATTGGGAGAATGCCCTCATCCACCACAAATGGGTGAATGGATGCCAGGTTTTTTTTTTTGCCATGTGATCAGCGTGTCCACTGACACGTGATCACTACATGTAAACACTGCAGGTCAACTGGGGGTTGACAACTCTCGTTCCCTCACACAGACGAGTGTGAGGTAAGGAGCTATCTGTGCTATTGCAGTGATTTACTGTATTACTGTTACCTAGTGCCCAAACTGTCACACAGTGCCCATCACTGCTGCCTCATCAGTGCTACTTATTAGTGCTAACTATCAGTGCTACCTAATCGGTGCACAGCAGTGCAGGACTCTGTCTCATCAGTGCCCATTAGTGCCACATATCAGTGCTGCCTCTTCAGTGGATCCTCATCAGTTCACATCAGTATAGCTAAGCAGTGCCGCCCCATCTGTGCAGCTTCATCTGTGCCCATAAGTGCAGCCTGATCAGCGCACATTAGCACCCTTCCGTGCTCCCATTTGTGCAGCCACATCAGCACTCTTAAGTGCAGCCACATTAGCACCCATCTGTGCAGCTACATCACCAACCACCATATCAGTGTAGCTGACCAGTGCCGCCCCATCTGTACAGTCGCATCAGCACCCATCTGTGGAGCTGCATCACCAACCATCACATCAGTGTAGCTGATCAGCGCCACCCCCCCCATCTGCAGTCGCATCAGCATCCATCATTGCAGCTGCATTAGCACCAATCTGTGCAGACGCATCACCAACCATCACATCTGTGTAGCTGATCAGTGCCACCCCATCTGTGCAGCCGCATCAGCACCCATCTGTGCAGCCATATCACCAACCATCACATCAGTGTAGCTGGCCAGTGCCACCCCATCTGTGCAGTCGCATCACCAACCATCACATCAGTATAGCTGATCAGCGCCGCCCAATCTGTGCAGTTATCTCTGCACCCACCTGTACTATGTCCGCAGTCTCTGGTCATGTCCTGTACTATGTCTGCTGTATCTGGTCATCTCCTGTAGTATGTCTGCAGTCTCTGGTCATCTCCTGTACATGTCCGCAGTCTCTGGTCATCTCCTGTACCATGTCCGCAGTCTCTGGTCATCTCCTGTACCATGTCCGCAGTCTCTGGTCATCTCCTGTACCATGTCCACAGTCTCTTGTCATCTCCTGTACCATGTCCACAGTCTCTGGTCATCTCCTTTACTATGTCCGCAGTCTCTGGTCATCTCCTGTACTGTGTCTGCAGTCCAATGGTTCAGAATATTTTTTTTCTTGTTTTTCTCCTCTAAAAACCTAGGCGCGTCTTATGGTCAGGTGCGTCTTATGGAGCTAAAAATACAGTAAGCCTCACACACAGCATAGGCATACATACAATTACATCCCAAAACACTTGCTATTCCTCCCAGATATGGTAATATCACATGTGTGAGACTTTTTCACAGCCTAGCCACACAGAGGTCCAAAATCCAAGAAGCATTTCAGGCTCTTTATGGCATAAAATTATGTATCTAATTTCCTGACTAACTACCTGTCAGGGATCCCCTCGATCCCCGCCGCGATGGTCCCGGCGCAGGCGCACTGCACCGCCCTGTGCGGGGACACGGCACTAGTTCCGGTCCGGCCGCGGCGTTCGAGTTCGCGCATGCGCAGTAGATTTTTTTTTTGTCTTCCTCTGGATCAACTGTTTGTGTAGGATTATAACTTTTTTTTTTAATGGTTGAACCACGTAGACTTTTTTCTTTTTTCAGCCAGACTAACTATGTAATTATATGTACATTTCAAAGGGTGACAAAAAAACCAAATCAGTATATATTATTTAGTCTCTGTGAAAGTTAGAGTCTACAAATCATAGTATATGTGTTTGATAATTCTGACTCTCCCTAAAATGTAAGGTCAGTACAAATACCCCCAAAATGACCCCTTTTTGGGAAGTAGGTAGTCTGAGATATTAGATTCACACCTGTACAGGTGGTTGCTGCTGCAGGACATGCACATCTTCCCACAGCTGCAACCACGCACACAGTGAAACCTAAGAGATTCAGGTGGGTGACATTAATCCTAATGGCACGCCGCCTGCACTGGAAATCACACCCGCACTGGGACACGTACTGTACTTGCAGGTCCCATGTGCAATTTCAAAAATAGTGCAGGGACCTTTTCCCTGCATTTTACAAGGCACGTCAGCCCATACAAATGAATGGGCTGCCGTGCCTGTGTAAACTGTGGCTTGCACATCCGCATATATGTGTACCTATGGTGAGAGGCATGGGGGGTAATTTGTAGTTGTAATTTTTTTGCCAAACTTCTTTGGAAAATTATGAAAGTACATTATTTTTTTTTTTCACAAACTTGTCAATTTAACAAGTTACCGTATTTTTCACTCCATGAGACACACTTTTTCCCCCCAAAAAAGAGGGGAAAATGTCAGTGCTTCTTATGGAGCGAATATGGAGCGGCCGGTCCGGTATTTCTGCTGCCGCCACCATGTTGGCATACTGGGCTGGCTGCTCAGCTCTTCTCTGCAGCAGGACCTTACCTGCTCCTCGGTCCAGCGCCAGCATCTTTAGTGTGGGCACCCAGAAGATGCCAGGCCATTCACAAAGCCCAGCACTGCTCCCGCACACACAGTGGGCACCCGTGACAGCCGGGTGCTCGCACTAAAGGGAGGACAACTCCGCAGAAGTGGGAGCGGGTACCTGTCAGATTCAGGTACCCGATCCCCCTCCCTCCCTAAAGGTCCGCAGTATCTTGGTCATCCCCTGTACTGTCTGCAGTCTCTTGGTTATCCCCTGTACTGTGTCCGCAGTCTCTGGTCATCTCCTGTACTACGTCTGCAGTCTTTGGTCATCTCCCGTGCTACGTTCGCAGTCTCTGGTCATCCCCTGTACTGTGTCCGCAGTCTCTTGTCATCTCCTGTACTATGTACGCAGTCTCTGGTCATCTCCTGTAGTATGTCCGCAGTCTCTGGTCATCTCCTGTAGTATGTTTGCAATCTCTGGTCATCTCCTGTACCGTGTCCACAGTCTCTGGTCATCTCCTGTACCGTGTCCGCAGTCTCTGGTCATCTCCTGTACCATGTCCGCAGTCTCTGGTCATCTCCTGTACCGTGTCCGCAGTCTCAGGTCATCTCCTTTACCGTGTCCGCAGTCTCTGGTCATCTCCTGTACCGTGTCCGCAGTCTCTGGTCATTTCCTGTAGTAGGTCCGCAGTCTCTGACCTTCTCCTGTACTATGTCCGCAGTCTCTGGTCATCTCCTGTAGTATGTCCGCAGTCTCTGGTCATCTCCTGTAGTATGTCCGCAGTCTCTGGTCATCTCCTGTAGTATGTCCGCAGTCTCTGGTCATCTCCTGTAGTATGTCCACAGTCTCTGGTCATCTCCTGTAGTATGTCCGCAGTCTCTGGTCATCTCCTGTACCGAGTCTGCAGTCTCTGGTCTTCTCCTGTACCGTGTCCGCAGTCTCTGGTCATCTCCTGTACCATGTCCACCGTCTCTGGTCATCTCCTGTACCGTGTCCGCAGTCTCTGATCATTTCCTGTAGTACAGGGGTGTCCAAACTTTTTTCAAAGAGGGCCAGATTGGATGAAGTGAACATGGTGGAGGGCCGAACATTTTTCCAAACATTCTTTGAACCATTACAATTAAATGCAAATAAATTATTTTATGCCAAGTTACCGTATTTTTCGCCGTATAAGACGCACCTGACCATAAGACGCACCTAGGTTTTAGAGGCAGAAAACAGGAAAAAAAAAATTCTGAACTAATGGACTGCAGACACAGTACAGGAGATGACCAGAGACTGCGGACAGCACAGGGATGACCAGAGACTGCGGACAGCACAGGGATGACCAGAGACTGCGGACAGCACAGGGATGACCAGAGACTGCGGACAGCACAGGGATGACCAGAGACTGCGGACAGCACAGGGATGACCAGAGACTGCGGACAGCACAGGGATGACCAGAGACTGTGGACAGCACAGGGATGACCAGAGACTGCGGACAGCACAGGGATGACCAGAGACAGCGGACAGTACAGATGACTGCTGACCTTTGGGGAGGTGGGGAGCGGGTACCTGAATTTGACAGGTACCCGCTCTTACTTCCGCAGTTGTTCTTTGGTCTTACCTGTTCCTCGATCCAGCCGCGCGCTGTCTTCCCGGCTTCTGTAATGGCGCTCGGCATGACAGCCGGGTGCCCAGTGCGCATGAGCGAGAAGCACTTGCGCTCTGTGATTGGTCCGGCGGCTTCTGGGATCTGTCATGTGTCCCAGGTACCGCCTTACCATTCACAAAAAGCACCGCTTCTTGCGCATGCGCACTTGGCACCCGGCTGTCATGCCCAGCGCCCACACTACAGAAGCCGGGAAGACAGCGCGCCGCTGGATAGAGGAACAGGTAAGGTCCCGCTGCAGTGCTGAGCGGCCGGCCCGGTATTCTGACACTGCCGCGGTGGAAATACCAGACCGGCCGCTCCATATTCGCTCCATAAGACACACTGACACACTGACATGGAGGGCCGTATTAAACCGACCCTCGGGCCGTAAATGGCCCGCGGGCCGGACTTTGGACATGCCTGCTGTAGTATGTCCGCAGTCTCTGACCTTCTCCTGTACTATGTCCGCAGTCTCTGGTCTTCTCCTGTAGTATGTCCGCAGTCTCTGACCATCTCCTGTACTATGTCCGCAGTCTCTGGTCATGTCCTGTACTATGTCTGCTGTATCTGGTCATCTCCTGTAGTATGTCTGCAGTCTCTGGTCATCTCCTGTACATGTCCGCAGTCTCTGGTCATCTCCTGTACCATGTCCGCAGTCTCTGGTCATCTCCTGTACCATGTCCGCAGTCTCTGGTCATCTCCTGTACCATGTCCACAGTCTCTTGTCATCTCCTGTACCATGTCCACAGTCTCTGGTCATCTCCTTTACTATGTCCGCAGTCTCTGGTCATCTCCTGTACTGTGTCTGCAGTCCAATGGTTCAGAATATTTTTTTTCTTGTTTTTCTCCTCTAAAACCTAGGCGCGTCTTATGGTCAGGTGCGTCTTATGGAGCTAAAAATACAGTAAGCCTCACACACAGCATAGGCATACATACAATTACATCCCAAAACACTTGCTATTCCTCCCAGATATGGTAATATCACATGTGTGAGACTTTTTCACAGCCTAGCCACACAGAGGTCCAAAATCCAAGAAGCATTTCAGGCTCTTTATGGCATAAAATTATGTATCTAATTTCCTGACTAACTACCTGTCAGGGATCCCCTCGATCCCCGCCGCGATGGTCCCGGCGCAGGCGCACTGCACCGCCCTGTGCGGGGACACGGGCACTAGTTCCGGTCCGGCCGCGGCGTTCGAGTTCGCGCATGCGCAGTAGAAGCCGCGGCCGCCCGCTGGGCACCAATGGCAGCGCAGGGCGGGATATTTAAATGTCCCTGTGCTGTCATTTCAGTGCCTTCTGGTCCTACCTGTATCCTGCGAATCTGAACCTGTGCCTTGTAAGTTATTTGACCCTGATTGTTCTTGACCTGCTGATTTCTCCTGCCCAGACCCTTGCTTTGCCTGACCTCTCTTCCTGAATGCCCCTCATTAGATCTGACCTACTGTTGCTGACCTGGCGTGTGACCCGACGATTCTCTGCCTGCTCCCTTGTACCTTACCGCCCTCTACGTTACCAACTCGGCCTGTCTGACTTCGCACTTGCTCAGCCATCCATCCATCCATCCCATCGGGGTCACCCGACCTCCTTACATTTGGCTCTCCCCTGTTGGAGCCCCTGGCGAACACCCCTACCACTGACAGGTGTGCTCCGTAGTGGCGACCTGGTCCCGGGGTACTACAAGTCCATCCCCACCATCAGGGGCCCTGGTGAACAAGTACCCTGGGGCTTAGACTCCGCGCTCTGGGCGTGCCTGACCAGTGGAGTACTAGTGGTGCCGTCCGGCGGTCCCTCACAGTACCAGAAGGCCATGACTGAGCCTCAAGGAGGACCCTCCCGATGGAGGAGGTTTTCAGGCACCTGGCTACCCTGACGCAAGCAGTAAACATGTTACAGGACAGATGTTTGCAGATTGAGAATCGGTTTCAGGCCTGCACCATATCTGCTCCTGTTTCACAGGCCCCGGCTCCTGCACCCCCAGTCGCAGCAGCCCACGAGCCGGCTCCTGGGCCTTCCGCATCACTCCCTATGGTGGAACCCCGAGTACCCTTACCCGAGCGCTTCCACAGGGATCGCACACGCTTTCGGTCATTCCGTGACTCCTGTCTGCTCTATTTTGAACTACAACCACGGACCTTTTTGACGGAATCGGTGAAAGTAGGGTTTGTTATCTCCCTGTTGCAGGGTGAACCCCAAGACTGGGCCCACCGACTAAGGGGAAATAATGACCCCCATCTGGTTACGGTTGACAATTTTTTTAATGCTATGGCCATCTTATATGATGACCCACAATGGGCGGCCTCGGCCGAGGCCACATTATACGCACTCCGACAAGGTCGGCGAGCGGCTGAGGAATACGCCTCTGACTTTAGGCGTTGGATGGGAGACACTCGCTGGAACGAGTTTGCGCTTTTGCACCAGTTCCGTATGGGCCTATCTGAGGCTCTGAAAGACGAGCTCACCCGGGTGGAGGTGCCCGAGACATTAGAGGACTTGATTGCACTCACCATTAAAATTGACCGTAGGCTACGAGAGCGCAGATTGGAGAGGTCTGGTCAGGGTCGCGGAAATACCTGGGGGTCATTCCAAGGATCCAGTCAACATACTAGGCCAAACATTCAGAACCTGCCGTCTGAAGATGCTCCCGAACCCATGCAGCTAGGCCTGGCACGGCCTAAACTACCGCCAGAGGAACGCCAGCGCAGACGCTCCCAGAACCTGTGTCTCTACTGCGGTGAAGCTGGTCACATGGTACGTTCCTGCCCGCAGAAACTGAGTAAGTTCACCTCATCTTCTTTATCTATTGGCAATATGAATCCGTCCCAATACTTAGTTGTCCCCCTCTCCTTTCAGCTTTCAGAAGGGACCGTGGAGGTGACAGCCATAGTTGATTCGGGGGCATGCAGCTGTTTTGTGGATATCAATTTTGCCCACCGGCAGGGTATCCCCCTCCGTCCAAAGGAGAAGGGGTTTCACATCTTTTTGGCTGATGGTTCCCGGATAAAGTCAGGGGTGGTTAACCAGGAGACCCCTTCCATTGTGACTTCCATTGCCGGTCAACACCGGGAGCTCCTCCGCCTAGATGCGATTGCATCACCCCTTTTCCCAGTCATTCTGGGGCTCCCATGGTTGCGGGCCCATAACCCCCAAATTGACTGGGAGACGGGTTGTCTCGTTCCCTTCCCCATACTGTCGGGAACTGTGCCGAACTTCAGGCCCGGAGGTCCCCCAGGTCCTCCTGTGCTCCGAAGGGGATGCCAGCCTGAAACAAGTGATTCCGGCAGCCTATCATAAGTTTCTTGATGTGTTCAGTGAACGGGGAGCTGATACTTTACCCCCCCCGCCCATATGACTGTCCGATTGATCTGTTACCCAGTTCTGAAATTCCCTTCGGGCAAATTTTTCCCCTTTCTGAACTAGAATTAGGGGTCCTGAAGGATTATATTGAGGACAGTCTCCGGAAGGGATTCATCCGTCCCTCCACTTCCCCAGCAGGTGCAGGGATCTTTTTTGTAGAAAAGAAGGACAAGACCTTGAGGCCATGTATCGACTATCGGGAACTGAATAGGGTCACAATCAAGAATCGTTACCCATTACCACTGGTATCAGAATTATTCCAGAGCTTAAAGGCTGCAGTAGTATTTACCAAGCTGGACTTAAGGGGAGCCTACAACTTGGTTCGCATAAGGGAGGGGGATGAGTGGAAAACGGCCTTCCGCACCCGTTTCGGCCATTTCGAATACCTGGTCATGCCTTTCGGGTTGTGCAATGCGCCGGCCACCTTCCAGCACTTTGTAAACGACATCTTTAGGGACTTCCTGGACATCTTTGTCATCGTCTACTTAGACGACATTTTGATTTTCTCTTCCTCCCTGGGGGAGCACAGGGTACATGTAACAAAGGTTTTGGGGCGGTTGCGGCAGCATGGGTTGTACGCTAAAGCAGAGAAATGTTGCTTTGAACAGGCTAGCGTTACATTTCTGGGCCTGATCATCTCCACCACGGGGGTTGCAATGGACCCTCAGAAGGTCTCTGCGATCCTAGATTGGCCTGAACCCACGGACAGGAAAAGCGTCCAACGTTTTATCGGGTTCGCAAACTTCTACCGGAAGTTCATCAAGAACTTCTCGGGTCTGGTTTCCCCCATCACTCAACTAACCAAGCTTGGGACGTGATTCAGATGGACGCCAGAGGCACAGGAAGCTTTTGAAGCGTTAAAGAAGTTATTTACCTCGGCACCCATTCTGGGTCATCCTGACGCCTCCCTGCCCTACATCTTAGAAGTAGATGCGTCGGAGAACGCGGTTGGCTCCATTCTTTCCCAGCGAAAGGGCGCCAAGGAATTACTTCACCCAGTAGCATTCTTCTCACGGAAACCTACCCCTGCGGAGAAGAACTACGACATTGGGGATCGAGAACTACTGGCTATCAAGACCGCATTAGAAGAATGGAGGTACCTGCTGGAAGGTGCCTCACACACCATTCTGATATTCACGGACCACAAGAAACCTGGAATATCTGAGGACTGCCAAACGTTTGCGCCCACGACAGGCAAGATGGGCATTGTTTTTCTCGAGGTTCCAGTTCCACATCACATACAGGCCGGGATCAAAAAACACGAAGCCAGACGCGTTGTCACGCATGTACGAGGACACCAAGGAGATCTCAGTACCTGACACTATTCTGCTGCAGGAAACTTCTTGGCCCTCCAGACCAACCTTCGCTCCGAGATAATGAAAGCGTCCACAGCCATGTCTACCTCCGATGGAGCGCCCCCTCAGAACAAGGGGGGACTCCTATGGAGGGAGGACCAGATCGTGGTGCCGGAGGAAGCCCGAACCCTAGTCTTGGGACATTGCCATGACCACCCGATGGCAGGACATTTTGGCCCGGTCAAGACCCTGGAACTTCTCCGACGTTCCTTCTGGTGGCCAGACATGGCCAAGGATTGTAAGAGTTACGTGGGCTCCTGTGTCATCTGCCAGCGGAACAAGCTTCAAGAAATAAGGCGTGGGGCCTGCTACGTCCATTACCAATCCCTGAACGGCCCTGGCAGAAGATCTCTATGGACTTCATAGTCGAGCTTCCACCTTCACTGGACCACACAGCAATTCTCGTGGTCGTGGACCGTTTATCCA